GCTAGCGTCCAGCCGGATTCATCGACGGCTTGTTGCACGTCTTGGCGCAACTGTTCTTTAAATTCGGGATTGGCGCAGAGGTCGAATAGGACGTGAATGATGGTTGCTGAGCTAGTATGTACCGAGGCTAGGGCCATGAACAGCATGTTGTGAGCCAGGACGTCGGGGTTCCGATCGCTGCCACGCGCCGAATCGGCCAGCCATTGGAGCATGTCAATGGGCTTGTCATCTCCATCCTTCAGGGCCAAACGTTCTGCGAAAATATGGCTGAAGGTCTTTTTGGCGACGTGGAGATGATGGTCGAGGATCTTCGATCCCTCCAGAAACGGATAGATGAAAGGGCGCACGAAGGCAGGGTAAGGTCGGAGCTTAACGGCAACGCTCACGACGTCCATCGAGTAGTCGGCTGCTGATTTGAGCCACTCCTCATTTCGGCTGATCGTCGTTCCACCGAACATGCGCGACGCGTTCTTGGTTATGATGCCGACCATGGTGTCATATGCCCGGATCTCGGTTTTGTGAGGAATGAGTTTGGATAGAGTGTGGTTTGCTTCATCGTTGAGTGGCCCAATCAGATGATCTGTCGCACACGATTAGTACCGCCGGTCTCTAGGTCTTCGGATATCAAGGTTGCAATTACGTAGGTTTCGTGTCAGTTGGTCCTTGCAAACGTCGATGTGAAGAGGACTCCTGAACACGACGTCGAGGTTGGTTTGGGCGCTCAGAAGCCGCTTTCGTGTCGGTTAGTAACGATAACCAAGAAGCGCGATGGGATCAATCTGTCGTACCTCTCGGAGGCCTTCGACCATATCTAATGTTCCCTCAGGCACTTTGCTATTGATCTCCTCGATATATTTGGGGCTCAATACAACACGCTCGACGTTCAATGTCTGTACTAGAAACATCCCGTTCTTGTTCTACAGAGGCGCATGTCAATTTCTGTCCGTGAGACCGTCAAAAGTCCTTGCTATCTCTCACCTGTTGGTAGCCATCATTGATGATTTTTGTGCCATTCTTCGCGAAGTCGCGTTTGACATCATTCATGCCTAGGCCTAATGGACCTGGCGCCTTTCCAGCACGCGGAATGAAACTCAAATCGGGTGTTGCGAGGTAGCGAAAATAGGCCCAAATGAAGAATGCAGCCGTGAGGCCAGCGGTACTTAGAATGCGGATTGCATCATCGCGTTCGAGGAACGCCTGAAGCGTGGCCATGGCATCCGTTGTCGTCGTCATTTTGGCATTCGTGTCGACAGGAAAATCGCGTAGAATTGCAGCCCAGAAAATTGGCTGACGCGGAGCACAGAGCTTGACTTTTTAGATATCAACAGTGCGACCTGTCACAGCTTGTAGATCGTCAAAATCAAAATTATGTTACACTGGTGGTCCCCTAATAATAGACGGACATCTTGATGGGGCGGACCCCGGTACGGCGATACCGATTCTGGCGATCCGACTTTTTCGTTGCCGGGTTTTATTTTTGGATCTGAGCTATACTATGTACAGTCAGACACATTGACAAATCGTAATCTTTATATTAGGATCCTTCTGGGGCCTCAAACAACTAGCGGACATAGCCATGCGCGGATGCTGACCCAGCTGAGCCTGGTCTCTCATATTAAGAACTCCGACTGTGTGGTCTGCATGCGTGGGTTATAAGTGGTCGCCCATTGGCAACTTTGATAAAGGGGCACCATTGTGATGAGCTATAGATAACGACGCCCACTGTACGATAATAATTCACGAATTTGCTCATCTTGAGCAAGTAGAGAGACGATAGATTCAACACATATCAATAAACAGTGGTCACCATGGGGGTCGCCAACCGCCTTGCCGACGATGCTAAGTCGTTGATTCAAACGGCCTTGGAGAACTACACCGAGAAGTATGGCTTAGGCGCGATGAGCGTTGCCGCCTATGATACGGCGTGGGTAGCAATGGTGACTAAGGTCGTGGATGGACAGAAGCAGTGGCTTTTTCCTGAGTGCTTCGATTACATCCTGTCTACTCAGTCTGAAGAGGGAGGCTGGACCATCGGCTGGGGTGCCCAAATCGATGGCATCTTGAACACGGCTGGCCCTCTGTTAGCCCTGAAGCGTCATTACGCAGAACCTCTTCAACTCCAACACAATGCTCAGGAGCTCGCCATTCGGATTGAGAAGGCCGTATCGTCTTTACGATCTCAGCTAGCCGCTTGGGATGTCTCAACGACCGAACACGTCGGTTTCGAGATCATCGTCCCGGCCATGCTCGAATTATTGGAGAAAGAGGACCCTTCACTTGTTTTCGAATTTGAATCTAAAAAACTTTTAATGAAGATCAATAACGCCAAAATGTCACGCTTCCGACCAGAATTCCTCTATGGCCCTCGAAGGTTCACAGCACTGCATTCATTGGAGTCCTTCATAGGCAAATTGGACTTCGATAAGGTGAAGCATCACAGAGTGCACGGCTCCATGCTGGGCTCGCCTTCTTCCACGGCGGCATATATGATGCATGCATCTGAATGGGATGACGAGTCTGAGGAGTATATCAGACACGTAATTAAGTATGCCGCTGGTCGCGGCAGCGGTGCTGTTCCCAGTGCCTTCCCCTCAACACATTTCGAGATCACTTGGGTGAGTGTCCCCAACAAGACGAGTTCTGCCACCTTTCTAATGTATCATGCTATAGATGTTATCTACTTTGCTCAGAGCCGGCTTCACTCATGCCGACTTAGAAGGGCCCGAACTGACTAAGATGCTGGACATCATGAGTCATTCATTCGAGGTTGAGAAGGGAGTGCTCGGTTTCGGTATGGAAATTGCAGTGTTGTCTATCTGGGGCTAGTATCGCTAATTCCAATCGTAGCTCCTTTCTTCGAGGCGGATGTTGATGACACCGCCAAAACCATCTCATCATTGAACATGCTGGGGCGACCCGTCAGCCCCAACAGTCTGATCGAGGTATTTGAGGCTGAAACTCATTTCCGAACCTATGCAGGAGAAAGAGATCCAAGCCCAACAGCCAACTGCAATGCGCTCCTGGCTCTCCTCCATCAGCCAGACGTATCGCTTTTCGCTACCCAGATCTACAAGGTTGCTAAGTTCCTTGTCGATTTCTGGTGGAAGGCGGATGGAAAGATCGTGGATAAATGGGTACGTCGCTACCTGAAAGACAACTGATTGATACTAAAACTGACCGAAATGTCCAGAACACATGCTATCTCTACCCATCCGTGCTGATAGTAGAGGCTTTTGTCGACATTTTAAATCTGATAGAGCAAAACAAGCTACCCGGTGTATTCGATGAGGATTTACAATCCCGTCTTGCCGTCGCTCTATTTCAAGCTTGCTTTAGGCCCCTACTTGACCAGCAGGCCGATGGTTCATGGAACCAGTCAGTTGAAGAAACTGCGTATGGTGTCCTCATTCTGAGTGAAGCTCGACGCGTCTGTTTCTTCAACGATCTCCGACAGCCTCTCGACCAAGCTATTGAGCGTGGTGTAGCATACATCAAATCTATTGAGAACCGCCCTCTGAATTATATCTGGATTGAGAAAGTTAGTTATGCGTCTCGTCTGTTGACAGATTCATATGTACTAGGAGCCTTCAAGGCTGCTAGCTTGGTGCCCACAGCTGGGGCAACAATCGGCTCCAGTCTTTGGCAGAACGTGTCGTCTTCAAGCTTGGAGAAGCACGTCAAACTATTCTCAAAGGCAGAGCTCTTCAGTGCGCACCCTGATTGGGAACTTCGAGGTTCGATGATCGAGGCTGTGCTCTTGAAGCCTCTATTACTCAAGCGCAGACTGGAAGTGTTCCAGCGCCAGGGAATGCAAGAAGATAAATATTTCGACCTGATTCCATTATTCTGGACCAGCCCGAACAATCGCGCCCGGACTTTTGCGTCTGCGTCTTTCATATACGAGGTGTCACTCCTCTCCATGCTCACCTACCAGGTCGATGAGTTCATGGAGGCAGTGGCAGCACCCGCCTTCCAGGGCCATATGTATGAGCTCCGTCAACTCATTCATACCGTGCTTCCTGAGGAACCGGTGGTGACCAATGGTACCAAGAACCAGAATGGTCATGCCAACGGGAATGGTCACGCCAACGGGAACGGTAGTGCCTCTGCTCAGGACGAGGTGCTCGCTACCCTCAAGGGATTTAAGAAATACTGCTTCGAGAACCCTTTTGTCAAGACTGCCAGTGCTGCGGATCAGAAACTTCTGGAGCGCGAACTCCGGACTTACCTCCTGGCTCAAGTTCAGCAAGAAGAAGATAGTGCGCTGTTTCGACAACTACGAAGTAGTGGAAAGCCTGGTGCTGGATCTACTAGCACATTCTACAACTGGGCACGGAGTACAGGTGCCGATAATGTATCCGGCCCGTTCGCCTGGGCTTTCATTGGCTGCCTACTCAGTGCTACACTGACATCAGGAGGCGGTGGCAAGGAGGTCTTCCCTACTGCTGGGGAGAAATACGTGGCAGCAGATGTGTATAGGCATCTCGCTACCATGGCCCGCATCTACAATGATCTCGGTTCAATTAGGCGAGACCAGGAGGAGGGAGCACTGAACTCGGTGGATTTCTCTGAGTTCGTCTCCCACGATAGCATCGAGAGCAAGAAGCAGGTTCTGCATTCGCTTGGCGAGTATGAGTACAGCTGCTTGATGCTTGCTTTCAATCGGCTGGAAGAGCTGAGACTCCAAGGAGTCAAATCGGCGAAAGATGTTGCCGGTGCGAGACTAAGCCAGCGGAGAATGAGCGTCTGGTCGATGTTCTTGGACCAAGTTGTTCTGTTTGACCAAATCTACGTGATTAAGGATATATCGAGTCATCATATCGTACAGGAAAATGGACACACAAGCTAGACATGTATAATTAAGATGGATGTTAATAGAATAGAATAAAAATTTGGGCACACTTCCCACGCATCTAGCGAACGATGTTGATCGCTTAATCATCTTCCCACAATATGAGTTGCTGTGACACCGGCAACATTATCACATCTTAGATGAGCAAGGGGCGGTGGCGTAGTTGGGAGCGCGTCAGACTGAAGTCAAAACTTCATCAATAATCTGAAGGTCACCGGTTCGATCCCGGTTCACCCCATTTTTGGCCCTCTACCCTGAGGTTAACCCATTTCCTGGCACATTAGGCATCGATCATCTCCGGCTATTCCCGCTGATGAGGCGGACAGGTTTTTTTCGGCACAGGTCTTGCCCTAAAAGATGCTGTTGCGCAGATGGCTGGAAAATTTGCGGTCGAATAGCATTTTTACTCATCCAATAAATACATAACATCACCGAGGCTTTCTGTGATTTGGCTAATTTGGATTCGTGAACTATCATGTTAGCCCTAGGCTCGGCTACACAAAAGCCTCTCCTAGGACCCTTTAAAAAATGGGCTACTTGAGGTGAAAGGGGGCTGTAGACAGGTTCGCGGATTCACGCCTCAAATTCCAGTTCTAGCATCATCTATAAAGTGTGTTTAGTCACGTCGATGTTGTGAAGGAGAAGTTAGAAATACTTTAGCTGAACAAGATATTCCTGAAAGGATAGCCTTACGCAAACTTATCTTAGAGTGACGTACGTGTTTTATTCTAGTCACACAGTTAATTCCCTATAGCCGCCATTATCACAAACCTTCAGCATAATAGCTGTTATTATTTACTACGGTGCAAACATAATAGCTAGTCAATGCAACTAGCTATCAAACACGCGGTTTATGCACGGGGCCAGCGCATGCTAGGCGGCCCTCGAACATTATTTCAAACATATTTACTATGGTTGCTTCGTATATCCGACATCATTCATGACCCATTTCCTCTGCGTGGCCGTTATATCCGGCGGTAAACTAGCTGGCAGTCAGGGGAACAGGAATACTCATATATGGTTCAAGGCCTGTTCCTCGTAGCAAATAAAGAGCCCGTTCGTGAAATAGCAGGGGGCACAGCACAGTTCGAACTAAACTGCATCCCCATGCTCAATAAAGAGGTTTAGAGTCTGGACAACGATAGAGAGACGTGCCCCTTGCGGGTGGGCCGCAGGCATTGATGACTTCCGTGTCTGCATTGAAGTAGTCAGACTCCCTTGGTATTTAGGCTGACTAATCGGGTCGTCTAAAGTTTGGTTTGCTTTTAACTCTGTTTTGAAGTTCATGCGTCACTATGGCAAGATCCAATCTTTGCCTTTGGTACATGTAGAGTCCATTCGCCGAGAAAAAGCGTCGAAACGATCTACCATCCATCCGGACTTCACTCTCTCGGCGGCCAGAGGTTTATGACCTAGCCTCAACGTGCTAGATGTCTTGCAGGTATAACCGGATACCGAAAACTGCATGCAAGAAGGGTCGTTCTTACAGACGTTCCGGCAAGCGTCAAATGACGACGCTGTGGCGTCTTCTTTATCCGATTGATTGTCCCAGTCATCGCGTTCTGTCGATAGTTGTGGCAATATATAGTTGCGGAATACGTCCTTATGTCGCAACAGAGTAGTATTCTATGTCACAGTTATCACGGTCAGCATGATTTCAATCTTAAATTGTCTTCACACAAAAAGTATTTACTCACAGATTGGTACCAGTCCTGCTCAAAGGAATAGAATGTGCGGTACTCTGAGGGTGGAAGATGGTGATAGCTCGCAGCATAATAACACCACGGCTGTTTTTCTGGTCCGCTAAATATGGATTCGAAGTCGGTTTCCGCCGGACCTTCGCTTGAGAGTGTGGGATATGCCCAATGCAGAGGGACCCCGACATCAGCGAGGGCTTTCCCCAGCACGCAATCGCCAGCCCAATGGCCTGCAGTGAAGTCGTCGTAGAACTTTAGATTCTTGTTGCGATGTTCAACAACTTTCTGCAAAGCGGGCTGTGAGATCGCAAATCCAGCCCCGCCGTAGGCAAAGATAACATCGCCGATCTGCATTTGCTGACCTAAGTACCAAGGTTTGGATGCGTCGAAGTGTTCCAGCCAAGCAAGCAATGGCTTCCATAGCACATATGTATCTGACTCCATGAAAACGAACCATTTTGCCTGGGGTCGAATTCTCAATGCCTTGTCGGCCAACGGAAGGAACTTCCATTTATCCAGCCTCCAGCCAGGACTGTCGCGGCCACTATTTGTGTTCTTCGCTGAGGCCCATTGGGCCATTTCTTCGGCCGTAAAGGCATCTCTTCCCTTGCCTCGGAGCCTGTTGTAGTAGACGAAATCGGCATGTGTCGATACGATATCGGGATTGACTTCGTCCAGAACATCGTATACTCGCTTGCCCTCTATAACCTCCTCGAAATCCGAATACAGTTCGTAGTGTGGTACGCATCGCAAGGTCGTCGTGTAATGCGCGGGCAGCTTCTTCGGCGCTTCCGTAGTACCGGTCCTAAGTGTTACAAAAATATCGTCAAGGCCCTCGAGGCCAGCGCATGGTTGGTAATGGTCGGTATTATGAGGGTAATAGTTTTTTATTGGCTGCTTTGATCGAATGCTGAATAGTTGGCATATTACAAGTATGATCAGGATTACAACGAAGAGTCGGCTCGGCGATCGTGTCAGCCTCGGCAGCAAGGTTGACAACATCGTATAGGGTTTTATGCGAACGACGCTTCAGAAAAGACCGGCATAAAAAAGGCTCTGGCTCGGGCGCCCAAAATCGTATAAACGTAGGAAGCAAAGAGGCAGCAGAGTCGCGTTGTGATTGCGACTCGACGCGCAAGAATATAAATATTTTACAAAGCAAATTGCCTAGGAAATAAGGATACGCTCGAACAAAGCATCAACAAGCAACATCGGAGAAAGTTGTCGCATCGCGATCGCCAAGTAGATGAAGGCGAAGAAAAGATCCAACAGCCTTGTACAAAACTGAACGATGAGAAATAATAATTCATCCACCAGTCTGCCTGTCCATAGGGGTTTCAGATGGCCGTTTACCCACCTACGGTACTAATAATCGACCCTACACCATAACCGGATTCAGGGAGAGCCTAGCCTGCCAACTGCACTTGACTGGCTGATAGCATGTGTATGGATAATCCCTGCACTCATTCTTCAGTAGGTCGCGTTCTTGTATGTGCAGTAACACATCTACTGCCGCTGGAGCATGATCCACCCACTTGAACTCCCATTTATAACCATGACCTATGCGTACTGGAACATAAAAACGCTAAGGTGAATGCTTAGGACATTTCCAGAGATGGTTTGCACGATGTCTTCCCAGGAACGCACGGGAAAGAAACTAAAAGCAAGGACAAGGCATATACACGTGTATGACAGCTTAGTGAAGGAACATCATCTTCACGTCTTTATTAGCCATCGTCTCCATACTGCGCTCCGCAATTTCTATCTCTGGGTACTTCCTCCTATCGGCTGCCCGGCGCATATTGTCAGTACCAGACTCAACACGCACATACTACACGTGGATTCCACGTAGCAAAATACTTCGTACTTCTATTCATACCTACATAGGTATATACGAATTATATCGCATAGCCTAAGCACACGACCATGGGCTTGCGGAATAGGTATTGATACGGAATACCTAGTCCAACAATGACTGTGAGAGAATTGCATACCGGTATGTTCCATTTGCGACCACCTAATTATGTCGCGAACAGTACGAAGTATGTATGTACATACCCCATCCCAGAACAAATCTCCACAGCAGAAATAAGTGTCCCACAGGGCTGAAAGAAGGAATACAGAGGTACCGAGTAGCAATCTTGGGGCATTCTACTTCGTACTATCACCCTTTACTTTACTTCTCATCGTGTGTGCTGCCAGTATCATCAGACAAAACTACGGAGGGTATTACGGGTATTCTCTTCTTAAACCCGCAAGGGCTACTCTTTCTTGATGCGACAAGGCAAATAGCAGTATGGTACATATTTCAGTGGCGATACTGGATTATACGTACAAAGGTAAGAAGTACACTACACTACACCACTCGGGAACGAAGTCCATAACAGGTAAAGTAGGGTCAGCCTTAGAAGATATTGAGGGGTCTAGGACTCCCATGGATAGCGGATATCGGTCGGTATTGTACATACCTAGGCCGCTATATCGTCTCTAAAGGCTCCCTTAGAGATCATGCACATGTAGATAATATGTAGCAACCTCGAAGGCTTAATAGGTATTTGGTAAGCACCGTCAACTTACGAAACACATTGTATCTCGGACGGTTCCTTAGGATACTACCCTGCTGCGATAAAGTTGTATTTTGGTGTGAACTACAGATTAGTAATTGCCTGCACAATCGCGTGTTGGATCGCATTGTGCAATGTCCCGATCGTAGGATCTGCGTCTCATTTCTCTCCAAGCAGTCTAGCAAAAGTAGCGTCCCTGGCCAGCTCTATCCTCTAACCAACCTAGTGTTATAAGACCCATGGCGAACAGAAAATTAAAAATAGGTAGACCGACGATTGGGCAGTACTGGCCTGGGTAAGGAGTGCTAGGCAATAGGGTCCTACGGAGTACTAGGTCGCCCTATTTCTCTTGCTACAATGGTGTAGGTGAGTTAGTATCAAGTTCCCTGGTGACATATTCTTCCGCGACGTCTACTCGAGCTGGCCTGCTCTTGCTGAGCTTCTTTCGAATACCAACTCGGTGCCTGGTGTTGCAGAGACGACTTCAGTCAGGATGCGATTGCTTTCCCTATTACCTTTCACAATCTTAATTACCCTCGTTTTCGGAGATGATGACCTTCCTCCGCCTGGCGAAGCCGCACTCCCTTATACAGATGGCTCATTCGGCGAACCGAATGGAGGAACCGCGTCATATGACGAAGGCAACAAGATGAATATCAGTTGGACAACCGCGTATGAGACTTCAAACTTGTATCTTATCGTGGGGTATGATTGGGTACAACCCGTTCAACTAACCAGTTCGTCATCATATACACTCCGTTGCCGCCATGACTGTAGCAGAGGAACACGGCTATTAACATGTTGTGTAGCAAATACGGCACAAACATGGTTTGAATGGGACGTCACTACGGACTCGACAAATTCATCCGAGATATACGTATTCCGTGTTGTCAATGGAACGGGTACTGCCGACCAGAAAGCCGTGGGAGGGTTCTTGAGCGCCGCCTTCTATATCCACGTTAAAGAGACTGAAACGC